CCACTCTAAGTACCCACAAACTTCCACAGAAAACAAACAACAATGGATGCAAAAACAGCAAGGCAACAAAACACTTACCAAAATTCCTAATCCCCTCAAAATCAATCCATGGGCCACTGAAGGGAAAGAAAGCAAAAGCCAAACAGCTGAATTATAAGAAAGGAATACAGAGATTAAAAACAGAAGGACAATGCGCTCAGTGAGCTCAAATTCGATATAAACATATAGTAGACACAATAAACAAAATGATCAGGGAGTTTACAGAAGACACTAATAAACAGGAAGCTGAGCTCAACAAAATGATACAAAACATGAACGAACAGTTTAGCGAAGAATTAGTCCATGAAATGTTCCCAAACAGAAATCCAGGACACAAAAATGTTACTGAAAGCTTGAGCAATAGAAGTGACCAATGTGAGGATAGAATGTCAGAAGTGGAAGATAGGCCTGCTATGGAGACCAGTTATTCACTGACACCTTGAAAACAATAACAGAAAATGAAAAGTGGACTGAAAGTTCCTACATGCGCAAAGGAGACTAATCTAAGATGAACCGGAATTAGAGAGTAACTCGGAAGACAGCACAGATGGCACAAGAACCTGTTACAGAATAATAGCAGAAAACTTTCCAAATATAGAGAAAAATTAAATGACAGGCAAGTGTGGCATCTAGAACCCCAAATAGCCATGATCTCCCCCCAGAAAACAATATAAAACAAAAAAAGTCTCCACAAATCATTACAGTCAAACTCCTGAAATCCAACACAGATACAGAATCTTAAAATCCTAGGGAATAGCAAGAAGTCACTCATAAATGTATACCCATTAGAATTCTAGCAAACTTTGCAACACCAAGGTCCAGGAGAGCTTGGCATGAAGTGTTTCAAGCCCTAAAAGAAAGTAACTTCCAAACTAGCCTAACATATCCTGCAAAGCAATCTTTCCAAAAGGATGGAGACAAAAGATATTTCCAAGATAGAAAGCACTTGAAGAAATTCTTGCCCACCAAGCCAGCACTCAGAAAAAAATCACAAGGACATCCCAGAGAGAGATAATGAAGTTAACAATGCCAAGAAGTCCAACAGAAGGACTAAACCAGTCAGGGGAGCACTTCAGGAGAAAGGAGAAGAAAACTGGCAACAGGAAAATAAAGTAACAATGCAATTGTACTAAAAGTTGGCAGACAGGAAAGTTAAGACCCTCAGTGAGGTTTCTGGCTAATAAAGAGTTAAACCCCTGCTACAGAGACAGAGGAACTAGGAAAAACGAACAGAACTGGCAAGACTGTCCTGGCTCAGTTCAGGCCAAGGCTCGATTCCCTCCTCCCTTCATCGTCAATTAAGCACAAAAAACCAAGGCGGGGGGTGTCTATATTCTAATAACTCAGTATATAAAACATGTGCTAACTCCTATGCACTCACACGCCCATATATATATATATACACACACATATACATACATGTACACATATATTTTATTATTCTCATCATATTAAAACCCTGTAATTCAGTCTTGATGGTAGCGCTGCTGTAAATCTCACACGTTAAGCACCTGGACAACACAAAGGGACCAGACAATTGCTTATGTAGAAAAGTACACATAGGGAAGGGTAGGGGCAGCGGCCAAATTAGGGCTCTCAGAGCTCAAAATAGCCAATCAAGGCATAACAACTCTCAAGGGGGATAGTCCATTTATGGCCGTGTGATAAAAGAAGCTTAGAACAAAGATCTCAGAGTTCTGGCTCAGGACTTCCAACTTACTCCAACAAGGTAGCTATGTATCTTCTTATATCTCTCCCATTTTCCAATGATGTAATTTTGTTTCCCCACTTCCCTTCCCTTTCCAATACTTACTTTTTTTTTTTTTTTTGGTTTTTCTCCGGTACCGGGAACCGAACTCATGACCTTGCACTTGCCAGGCAGGCACTTTTGCCGCTGAGCTAAATCCCCAGCCCCTCCAATACTTACTTTTTTCTCCTTCTGAACTTACATCTCTCATTCATTTATTGACACAGATCTTTTTATGCACCTTAGATAAAAATCTACTCTCATGAGATATAACACAATGACAGCAATAATTCCATAGTCATCCATAATATTTCTCAATATGAATGGCAAATGCTTCAATTAAAAGATACAGTTTGGCACAGTGGAACAAGAAACAAAATCCAACAGTATGCTGTATACAATAATCACATTTAACCTCAAAAGAACCTCACAGGCTAACATCAAAGAATGGAAAATAATATTTCATGCAATGGAAACCCAGAAAAAAATCACTGTTGGTATCCTACTTTTAGGAAAAGTGCAGTTGAAGCCAAAACTGATCAGAGGAGACAAGAAAGGGCACTACACTGGTAAAGGGGACAATTCAACAGGAAGAGACAAAAGTTATTAACATATATGTACTGAACAATGGTACAACCAAGTCCATAAAAAGGGACTGTGGGTCATAAAAGATCAGATAAACATTAATACAATTATAGTGGAGGGCCTCAGGATCGCACTTTCACAAACAGACAAATCAACTAGATGAAAAATTTAACAAAGAAACATCAACGATGAGCCACACCTGCAAACAAATGGACTTCATAAATATCTACAAAGTGTTCCTCGGAACAAAAATACAATGCACGTTCTCAGGAGCACATGGAATCTTCTCCAAATTAGACCATGTACTAGCCAAAAAACATGCTTAAGTAAATGCAAAATACAAAGATTATGCCAGGCAGATTATCCGATCATAGAGCAATGAAGAACCAGCAGTCAATGGCAAAAGAAAACACAACAATTATGTGAATGCGTGGAAATTAAACAACACATTCTTCACTTGTCAATGGGTTAGAGAAGAAACCAAGGAAGAAATAAGGTAGCTCCTAGAACCTGGATAAACCTCTAGCTGATTTTACCAAAACAAGGAGGAAAAAGATCCAAATCAGACAAATGCAAAGGTGTAATAACAAGGTACACTGCTGAAATCCAAAAGATTACTAGCAACTCCTTGACAGACCTGTACCCCCAAAAATTAGAGAATCCAGAAGGATAAACTCCTAACAAATATGATGTACCAGAACTGAACCAAGAAGATATAAAAACCCTGAATAATCCAATAAAAGGCAATAAAATTGAAGCAGTAATAAAAACTACCAACTAAGAAAAGCCCAGGTCTGGCTAGATTCAATGGTGAACTCTACAAGAACTTCAAGAAACATCTTCCTCAAATTCTGTTTAAGCCCTTTAACGAAACTGAAAGGCAAGGAGCACTCCCAAAGTGATTTTGGGAAGCTAGCATTATCTTGATTTTTAAGCCAGACAAGGATCCAGGCCAAAAGGACAACTACAGGACAGTCTCTTTAATGAGTATAGTTACGAAACTCCTCAACAAGACACTGGCAAACAGAATGCAACAAATCATCAAAAATATCATATATCATGAACAAGTAGCCTCCATCACAGGGATGGTTCAACGTATGCAAATCGATAAATGCAATAACTCACATAAATAAAGGCAAGGACAAAAATCATAAGAACATATGATTTTTAAGACTGTATTTATGATTAAAACATTTAATAGATGCAGAGAAAGTCTCTGATCAAACCCAACATCACTTAATGAAAACAACATTGAAACAAATTGGTATAGAAAGGTGTTATCTCTTGCACAGCACCTGCCTGGCAAGTGCAAAGTCCAGCGTTTGATTCCCCTTACCAGAAACAAAAAACAACAAAAAAGAAAGGTCTTATCTCAATCTCATGAAAATCCTTTAGGAAAAACCTACTGCCAACATCATATTAAATGGGAAAAAATAGAAGTTTTCCCTCTAAAATCAGAAACAAGATAAGGAGGTCTGCTATCACTCCTTGTGTTCAGTATACCTCCTGGAACACTGGTCAGAACAATCAGGCAGGAGAAGGAAATAAAGGATAGTAGAGGAAAAGAAAACGTCAAATGATCATTTATTTTTACTTTTGCTTTCAATTTCACTGAGATATTTCAATTTCATGAGACACTATGCATAGAAGCCAAGAAAACATGGCAAAAGAAAGATCTTACCTAATGAAGTGAAAAAACCCAACTTCTGTACTAAATCACTGCCCTTTGTAGTATGAAATGTTACCAACTTTGAAGCTTCCTCTTTTGAACGCTGCAATATGCTAGACCATGAATTCTAAGTTGAGAAATATACCGATGCTTTAAAGTCTTCAATTTTCCCTTAAGATACTAAGGAGAATTTGTATGGGTTGCTGATCTGAAGAATTTGTATCATTATTTGTAGATGACATAATCCTCATGGCCCGAAGATTGCTGTAAGTTTGAAGCCAGCCTGGGCTACAAAGTGAGTTCAGGGCCAGCCTGAACTAACTAGTGAGACCCTATCACAAAAAACAAACAAACAAGCAAGCAAAGAGCAATAACAACAAAATATATATACATGCATATGTTCTGTCAAAATATATACACACATCACAAAATGAATGATGGCATGACGTTTTTTCAAAACATGGTGTTACTCGTGTATGGGGACCCTAGAGGATGTCCTTTAGTGCAGAAAACCCAGTACACTGCCTGCCTTTAGAAAATAACTTGAAAATGCATGTGCAGCAATCTCACTGAGCAAGGTTACCCGAGGAGCAGCGCTCTCTACAAATAAATGTCTGGAGGCTCACGGTCAAAATTTTGAACACTTCTTGCTGTTCTGGAGGCTGAAGATAACGTGTACTAATCTCATAAGATCACAATCAACCTACTATTAGAATATTTGTACAACTTTCTCTTTTCCTGAACTGATACACACAGACATATATATATATATACATGAGACACAATGCCATGAATCTTCATCAAAATGCCCGTCCATATTTCCAATACACTTATCTCCTCATGCCGGCGGTTTACAAGGCAGTTCTAGGAGTCCACTTTGATGAGTGCAGTTCTGCTCCTGGACCACTTTCTCCTAGACGTCTCCCATTCCTGTCTGAGGCTGCACTTCTCTAACCTCAGGGGACAGCTGTGTGGAGCTTATTGAGCACAGCGCACACGATGCTGACATGGAGGGTGTGAGCACTAAACGTGCAGATACACTGACCGAGGAGACAGGTCGGGAAAGAGACTGGGCCCCTATGCTGGGAAAGAGACTGAAGCCTCCTAAAGAATCTGAAGAGAGCACATGACTGAGTATTAAGTTTGACTGACACTCTTCTGCCATCAAAGCTACAGTGGCCGTGGGGAGAAACAACTACGTGGATCAAAATTTGTTGGGCTACTGAGGCCTCATCCACAGTAGCCAAACACCCACGCTGCTGACCCATTAGAGTTGTGGCCAAAGCCCGCAAAGCAGAGTCCCCTTCTTTTCTCTCTTTCTTTTTTTCTTTTTTTGTCCTTTGAGACAGGGTTTCCCTATGCAGTTCAGGCTGGCCTTGGGCTCATTTTGTAGGCCAGGCTGACCTGGTGCTCACAGCAACACTCCTGCCTCAGCCTCCCGAGTGCTGCGATCTGAGTTCCTTTTATCAGTTCCAAGGGCCATTCTCGACAAAGTGAATTGTTACAAGGTGTTCCCACAGGACGCTACCTCCTCCTCTTTAACCTATCTTCCGCTTTGCCTTCCCCTCCTCCTCACTCTCCTCCTTCTTCACCTCTTTATGTCAATGCCCCATTTGACTGTGGGCATCTGGGTCTCCAAACAATCCCCAGACCTTGAGCAAGCTTAAGCTCTCACACAGAAACAAAGAACGGGGACAAAATGCCCTCCTCACCAGGATTCAGAAGCTGGAGGCATGTGGCCGCAGCAGTGCAGTTCGGCTCTCTCTGCGATGGCCCAGCTCCTGCCACTGGGGCCACTTGGACTGGTTCACTTAACAGGCTTTCAGGTAACTCCAGGCTTATTTCAGGTAGCGGTGGTACCATCTGAAACAGCTCCAGTTCTTTCAGGAGTACGTCACCCATGTCAAACTGCAGGAAACACAAGAACCAGTCAGTCCCTCTCCAGACCCGCCGGAGCTGTGTACAAGCAGCACAAAGACAGACATGCACATAGTTTTCAGTGTTTCAGTGGGCACAGGAAACAGTGCATGAGAAGAAACACAAGCGTCCACCTAAGCAGCTGTCACATTGAGTGTGACATATCACTACCATCAGGATTTCAGCATGTCATCAATAGAAACAATTACTACTGAGATACTTCACCTACTGTTGCCCTCCATACTGAGCCTTCTGCTTGTGGTATGCACTTTCCACTCAACACAGGTCTGAATTAGCACAGGGCCCATTTCCAGCACTCAAGTTCCCCCATGGCTAGTGGCTCCTGTGCTGGGCAGGGCAGGCCTTGACCACTACATGATAAAATCACCGATAGGTAACCAAATCAAGAAGAGAAAGAAAATGTGGGAAACCACGAGGCCAAGCTACTGCAGGGAGGCAGGAATGATTGGAAGACCGCTGTGCGGGCTTCTGTCAGGAAGACCGCTGACTTCCCCCACCCCACCGGCTCCTGGCAAACCCACCCCACACCACACCCAGGAGCTCTAACACCACGCTGGAAGCACTTGCTTCCTCCTTCCAGACACTGCCCTCTGCTGAGCTTGCCCTTCCCCAAGAGGCTTTGCATGGTGCTTGTTCCAAACAAGGGGCAGTGCCACAGCCTCCAGCCCTCAGGAAGCGCTGCTTCTGGATATGCTGCCGCCTGGTGGTGCTGAGGGAGCCTAGTGGGTGCTCAGACACGGAGGTGTCACCTGCACTGCGGGTTGTTCCAGGTTTCTACCAACTCTGGAATTCCCGTCAAGAACTGCTATAGGTAAGAAGCAGCTGCCAAGGACCCCGTCCTGTTGCTCAGAGACAGTCAAACTACTTTTGCACACTTGGGCATAACTTGAGCTTCCTGGCAGTGTGCTCCTGGGAAAATCCAAAGAAGACTCCACTATTTGTTGTTCTGATTTATCAGGATTTCTTGGCCACCCTGGGAAGTCACATCACAAGCTCCAGGACATGGGAAGACCTTCAGCCTTCTTCTAAATCCTTGACTGGCCCCTCAGGGGGACTCTAAGCAGAGATGCAGGCTTCAGATCAGTTCCCGAGGGCTTCTGGTGAAATCAAACCCAGCCATGCGTATGGAGAAGTGTCTACCAGGGTATCATAAAATATGCTCCTTTAACACCTGTCCTAGACTCTACTTGACTCGGGTTTGAAAGGATGTTTCCGGACAGCACCATAAAGCAAATGTCTTCAGCACCGGGGACCATGTTTACTGTCACGTATTCTCCTTGTTCCTCTCCAAAAATTAATTTGACAAAATAAACGTCACTATCACCTACCTGGGCACACAAAATGGCCAACACCATATATGGCCTGCAGGCCGGTGAGTAAATGATGGATGATTCTGGCTGATGAATGTGTGTCGCTGATATAGTTTGTATATTTAATATACAGAGAGTAAAGTACACAGTGCAATGTATATGTGAAAGCAGAGTATAACAGTGACAGGTGTGGGAATCACACTCGGATGCTGATTGCAGCTGAAGAGAAAAATGGAAAGGACTTTGAAGACGTCCTGGGCCTACACAATGACAGTGTGAAAATGTCTGGCCCAGACCCAACTTCCTGGGTTCCCTACTGGTCTGATAACAAAGGTCTCCACCCCTTTTCTCACCTGATGTCCTGCTGTCTCACGTTCTCTTTGCAAGTGCTCTATCAGTGAAAATAATTTTTCTCTACTCTCCGGGTCATGTGCGTTCACCTGCGTCTCTATCTCTGTCGGCAGAATATTGCGGAACTGCTCCATCACGAGCAGCTCCAGGACTTGTTCGATGGAGCGTATGTTTGGCTTCAGCCACTGGCAGCAAAGCTCCCAGAGTCTGTTGAAGTTTTCCCGAGGCGGTGCTGCTTCACTGTACTGGAACTGCCTGAAGCGCAGGCGGGAAACCTCACGGTGAGCCTCATCTTTCAGCATGGGATCCTCATTGGACTTCAAGAAGACCTGCATCTCACCAAGCTGTTCCATGGTGACGGTGCTTTTTCCGGTGTGAGCTGTTGATCAGAGTCTGAGGTTCAGTTTGTTTTTCTCTGAAATCGGCAAGAAGAGGGGTGTACACCTACAGCGGAGGAGAGGGAAACAGAAACAGAGTCGCAGCAGCTCCTGTACCTGTCCTCTTCCCTGGGAGCATGGACACACAGTAAAGCCAGGGATGTAGCTCAGCAGCACAGGCCTGCCTGGCAAGCTCGAGGTCCTGAGTGCGATTCCTGGCACCAAAAGAAAGGAAAAGAAAAGGACACACTGAAGTCTCCTTTCCTATCCAGTCTGCCGCTGCCACACCCTTGTCCCCATACCTGTGCAAACTTTCAGAACTGTCTCCCAGCGCCTCTGAATGCAACAGGAGGTATCAACTCCATGACATTTCCTGCTGCACGGAAAGGACTGCAGAGAGCTCTCTACCCGCACAGGAAGCACTCAGCACACTTACACTTGGCCTCCTGTGTCCTTGGGGTTGAATTCACCTCTCAGATTCAAGCAGTCACTGGCCGAAAATATTGGAGAGAAAACCACATCTGAACTGGACATGTTCAGACTTTTGTCATCATTCCCTAAACAATATACTGGAAGAAATGTTTCCAGAGAACTTATTTTCTTTTTCTTTTTTTTTTTTTTTGGTTTTTCTCTGGTACCCGGAACCGAACTCACGACCTTGCGCTTGCCAGGCAGGTGCTTTGCCGCTGAGCTAAATCCCCAGCCCCTGGAGAACTTATTTTCAGCTGGGAATTTTAAGCAATCTAGACATGATCTCAAGTATACAGCAGAATGTGCATTGCTGATATTTAAAATCTGAGTCATCAAAAACCCAGGCGTGGTTGCTCACGCCTGTAATCCTAGCGTTCGGGAGGCTGAGGCAGGAGTAGCGTTGCTAGTTCGAGACCAGCCTGGGCTACAAAGTGAGTTCCAGGCCAGCCTGAATTGCATAGCGAGACCCTGTCTCAAAAAGATGATAAAAAAATGAATCAATAAAAATAACACAATAGGGGCTGGGGATTTAGCTCAGCGGCAAAAGAGCCTGCCTGGCAAGCGCAAGGTCGTGAGTTCGGTTCCCGGTACCGGAGAAAAAACCAAAAAAGAAAAAAAAAAATAACACAATAAAATTTGTGTCATCCCAGTTCTGAGTACTTTGGGGGATCTAGGCATCTCCGACATTAGGCGTACATCTTCCCCAGGAATCACAAGGAAGGAGTAGGGCTGCTGCTCCTTAGGAAGCTTCTCTTCCCCTTCGCCCAGGCACCTGGCCATCCTCTGTTGGGCGTCCAGGGACTGTGGGCCACTCATAAATGTGCTCCAGGCTCACACCTGGCCAGCCCTGCTGAAAACGGTCCTTTGGCGCTGCTGGAGAAGTACCCCTCCGTGTTTCCTTCTAGGGCCCTTTGCAATGCAACTTCACTTCACCACAGAGCTCCTGGTCTCACCTGAAACCCTTTGGGAATGATGCACTCTTACAAGGGTCTAGGAGTAAGGCAATAACACGCAGCAAGAATGCACCTGAGAAACGCAGGAGATGTCCTTGAAAGTCGTAAACTCCGGATTCTGAAGAGATTAAAGTGGCATCATTGAGTATTATTCACCCTGGAGCTCCCATAGCTCTGAGGTTTGTTCCTCTTCACTGAGGTCTCTCGTGGAATACATGGCCTGTGCACAGGAATCTAAGTGACAGACACTGGCCTGATAAGGATTCTGGCTACAACCCTTAGTTTCCTTCAGAGACAGCGACAGGGACATTGGTAGAGAGGGATAAGAGCTGATGATCCTTGGCCTCTCCCTCAGCTGTAGGCTCTGACTGAGTCCCTGCCCTGTGGGTGCTTGTTCGCCCTGGTCCTAAGGATGTACACTGGCTGACTGCAGGTCTTTCCTCCCCATGGCCCCACTCTAGGGACCGGCAGTGTCCTGCTGCCCTTGCTCTTCTCATCCTTTGCTGGGGTAGGACATGAAGCTGCTCATTCCTAACCCTAAAGCCTGAGGAATATGCTCCCTACATGTACCTGAGAGGTTTGATGAAAGGCGGTACCAAGCACAGACCTCACTTGCTTCTGAGCTGTGATATACTCTCCCCAGTGTTGTTGCTTTTTTTTGTGGCACTTGGTGAGCTGAGGTGGTATAGGCTAGAGCAAGATGGAGACCCCTGACCCCTGACCAAAATTGTGAAGGCACCTGTCTCTGGACTGTACAATGTCTGGTCCACAGGGTGCCCTCCTCTACCAATTACTGCTTTATTGACAAGGCTCCCAGCACTTTCAAGCTCCAGGATCTACTCAGGTGTTCAAGCAACCAGCTAATGCCCCCTGGCAAGAAGTCCAGGCTGAGGTCTGTCACCCCAGAGAGAGAGAGATGTGTCCGTACCCCACGCTCACCCCACCTCTCCACTCAGCACATCTCTGAATGAGGGTTGGATGTGCCTGGCTTCCTGAGTCTCAGGGCACTCAGCACTCACTTCCTCAGTATCCCCATGCTGGGTGCCATTGAATGGTGGGCTTTATCTTGGTCTCAGTCCAGGCTCCATCTCCCTCAGTCACACCTGGGCTCAGAAGCTCAGACTTGGCTGACCCCGCCCACCCCAGCTTTAGGTGGTCAAGAGAAGCCAGTGTTGCAGGAGTGCCAGCTACTGTCAATGCCCAGTGACCTAGGCAGGGTGGCTGAGGCTCAGGAGAGGTCAGTCCCTCTCTTTCAGCCAATAAAGAACCATTAGGTGGGACAGCTGGGGAGACAAGTGGATACTGAGGCAGGAGGTCTCAGAGGGTACATACTCCTAGGTCACCTCTACACATGAGCTGCCGGTTGCTGTCCATCTGTGGGACATGGGCCTAGGTGGAGCCTGTAGCCTAAGTTCCATTGCATTCCTGAGGAGTTTTATTTAATTGCAACTTCAAGTGACCAAAAGACTAAAATCTTTCATTTAATGTTAGTGCCAAAATTCATGGGGAGTTTCACAGTGAAAAGATTTTAGTATCTTACTATGAATCCCAAATTTTGAAACATGGCTTTCATTTTGAGCATCTTTTTGAATATTTAATTGTTTTCATGTCTTGCTGTCACTTCAAGATTGACAATTTAAACATTAGACATTTTATGGTTCAGTTCCTTCTTTTTATAGATAATTAGTTACTTTTTGGCTGAAAGATCAAATAATAAGCCAATTTATTTCTATATTTTAATTTTCCATAAGATTTATAAGGATTTATTTAACTCAATAGAAACAAGTGTACTTTCACTTTCATCTGCTTTTTTTCTGGCAAGACTTGTGGTGGAGACCTAGCAGTATGGTGCATAGCTGTTTGGGTAAGAAAATAAACAGTTCTGTTAAAGGTTAATCATATTCAGAAAATTATCTCTATCTGAACCTCACTGTCCTCTAAGGTTATCAAAGTAGTTTAGTCCAGCTAAGTACTGTTCATTAGAGACTCAGTTTATATTTTAAAGAAATTTAATAGCCAAAAGCCTGACAAAGAGCGTTAACAAAAATGTCAAATCATTTGAAAATATTCAAGTCAAAGACAGTTATTAAATATATTTTTGTTACAGAGCAGGGACAAATGAAGCCTTATATGAGTAGAGTTATCTTTTAGGTCATTTTAATACAAATTGCCATTTAAAAACCAAAGCACATAAGAAAAATATTACAATTTGTACAACTTTCTTTAAGTGTCTTCTACAGGTTTAAATTCCTAATTCAAGTTGTCAAAGTGCCCATCTGATTTTTAGATTTTATTTTCATTTTAAGAGCCCTCTACCAAAAAAAAATTAAGACACTTGTCAAATTTGGAACTTTCAATTTTTTCATGTTTGATTATATTATAGTAGCACAATAAATGCCAGGGGTAGCACATTCATTGATAAAGCACATATAAGGAGCAAAACATAACCAAATGTACTTTGCTTTTACTTCCTATATGAAAGACTTTTCGGACAATTAGGCTTAAATTTAATTATCTAAGATGGTACAAGACCCACGAAGCTAGGAAAATTTTTATTGGGTTTTATAGCACTATTTTCAGAACATAAAAATAAGTTTAGATGTACAATCATTCTAATTTTTTGAAATTTATGTGACTTAAAAATCCCAAATATTCAAATAAGAGGCAGTGGAATTGAAGCAGTAATAATAAAAAAAAAAATTACCAAGAAAAGACTTGATGGATTCACTGCTAAATTCTACAAGATCTTTAGAGAAAATCTAACGTCAATACTCCTCAGATTCTTTAATGAAATCAAAAGGGAAGCAGTACTCCCAAAGTCAATCCTGGAAACAAACATTACCCTGATTGCAAAACCAGAAAAGGATCCAATCAAAAAGAGACACACAGGCGAGTTTCTCTAATGAACATATATGCAATAAGCCTTTCAAAAAGATACTGGCAAAACAGAATGCAACAAATCATCAAAAAGATCACAGGCAACGACTAAGCAGGCTTCATCTAGGGATGCAAGAATGGTTTATCAGGTGCAAATCAATAACTGGAATTCACGCTGGGCCTATAATCCCAGCACCTGGGAGGCTGAGGCAGGAGGATTGCTGTGAGTTTGAGGCCAACCAGGGCTACAAAGTGAGTTGAAGCCCATCCTGAATTGCACAGCGAGACCCTACCTCAAAGAGACAAAAAAAATTGGAATTCATCACATAAATAGAAACCAGGACAAAGATCACATGATAATCTCAACAGAAATAGAAAAAACCTTTGACAAAATCAAACATCCATTCATAATTAAAACCATGCAGAAAATACGTATAGAAAGACCTTTTCTCAATCTGATAACAGCCATTTATGACAAACCTACCACCAACATCATATTAAATGGGGAAAAACTGAAAACTTTCCCTCTAAAATCAGAAACTAGACAAGGATGTCCACTGTCACCACTTCCGTTCAGTATTGTACTCAGAAGTTTAGCCAGAGCAGTTATTCAAGAGAAAGAAATAAAAAGAATACACATAGGAAGGGAAGAAGTAAAAATATCACTATTTGCAAATGACATGACCTCTACTTACAAGGCCTCAAAAAACTCCACTAAAAGACTCCTAGAATTTGGTAACCCAATTCAGCAATGCAGCAGGATACAAAATCAACATACAAAAATCAATAGCATTCTCACAAACTAATAACAAACTAACTCAGCAAGAAACAAATTAATAAAACATAACCATGAACAGTACCATCAAGAAAAATTACTTAGGAAAATTACTTCAATCTCTCCAACAAAGTGAAAGATCTATAAAATGAAATCACTCTGAAAAAGGAGATTGAATTGGACATCAGAGAATGGAAAGTTATCTAATATTCCTGGATAGGCAGAACAAATATAGTCAAAATAGATATACTTCCAAAACTGATATAGAGATTTAACACAATCCCAATCAAAATGCCAACAATATTCCTCACAGATTTAGAGAAAACAACTAAAAATTCATATAGAATAAGAAGTGACTTAAATAGCAAAAAACAATTCCAAGTAACAATAACAAAGCAGGCGCAATCACAATCTCAGGTTTGAAGTTATATTATAAAGCTATAGTGGGCCTGGGGATTTAGCTCAGCGGCAAAGCGCCTGCCTGGCAAGCGCAAGGT